AAATGAAAATGCTTAAGTTTAGATGATGTAGTATTTCAGTTATAAGATACTTTCTGCTCTTATGGTTGAACACCATACATTGGGTGTATGCTTCTATTTATAAATCGCTATTTGCTTTTGGTTTCTGGTGTTAGTAAATAAAAAGTGGGGAGGTAGCAAGGGGAAATGTTGTATTTCACCGTAGAGGCAAAATATGTCTTGGAATCCTTAAAACATGTTTGGATCATTGCTTAAATAATAAAGATTTTATTTATCAAATACTTCTCTGTGGTAATAATGGCTTAATCTTAATTAGGTGGTTGCTGATAAAACAGTTTTTCTTTGCTCTCCTGGTAGTCCTGTATTACTGCTACACAGTTGAGGGTGTATAACAGTATTTTTCCTCTGTGGTTCTCCCCCTCCCCCCTGCTGACTAGTGGTGCAACTACTCTTAAGGTTATGTGACTGCTTTATTCTTAGAGAGACAAAAGTAGTCATTGTTTCATGATGATGATGGTTTAATCCTGCAGTATTTTTGAAATTGAATTTTTTTTTTTAGTAAAATAGTCTTGGGAATGTGATATATTTGCGTAAGGAAGTTGAATAGTGCTTGCGATGAGATTTCATCACTTGCTTTTTTAATGCTGGTTGAACTAGATAGAGACTCTGATTAGCTGAGGAGGCTTCCTGTACTGTTCATAAATACCTTGGCTATGAAAATTACTTTTGTGTGGGTTCTCCTGAAACAGGAGCTAGGAGGAGGGTGGCAATTTTGCTGTATTTGTAGCTGGAAATTTCATAGATGAACAGACTAAATGAGCAAATTGTGGTATGTGCAAATTCTTGTACAGCCCTACAGTAAACTAAATCATTATGAACATAGTGTTTGTTTATGCAATGTTACTCCTCTATGTAGAACTTTGTTGTGCAAATAAAAAAAAAAAAGGAAACCCCCCCCCCCCCACTGAAGTACTGTGTTTGAATTTAATCTGAGAGAAACAATGAGGACCTAAATCTGCAGTTATGTGGAGAGTTCTGTTAAGCCCTGCAGTGTTTGTTCTTGTTTGTTGATGGTGAGAACTGGAATTCATCAGTGCTTCCTCTGCAGTGTGTGACCCTTGACATTCAGAGGCTTCTCTTTTTGCGCTCCGTGGCAGGTTGTGTAGGGGTATTTTCTCTGTGCTGGCAAGTTGTTTTTGCCTATGCCCATAAAAGGTGTTGATGAAGACAGAAAAATCGAGTAAGGGGAAGTGCATTTGCTGTGTTACTCTTGTAAAGTGCTTTACCCGCCAGCCATGTGGAGGTCACTGTGTACTTGATGTGGTGTTGACCCTTGAGCAGACTCCACTAGTGTAAAATGGTTCACTTGAAATTTACTGTCAAAGTTAAGTTTGGCAAGGAGCAGCTTGCACTGACATTGTGGCTGCTTTTTCAGAATTATCTGCACAACTCTGGTTCCTTGAGACTTAGAGAATACGAGGAGGAGCTCAGAATGTTTCAGGATGCGTATAAAATTAATATGGATTAATTATCTGTCAGTTACTAATCAACTTTGGTTTACTGTTCCTTTAAATTACTTTTTCCTTTATGTTTAGATGTGTGGGGTGGTTGGCCCCTTCTTAACTTTCATCTTGAAGCTTCAAGGAAAAAGGCCTGTAGCTGGCCAGGTTTCAAGTCTGCTTTTTCTGTTGTTTGCCATCCGTCCCCAGTAATGAACTATTGTGGTGACTGATGGATTTTTTTTTCCCCCCACTTGGAAATTTTTAAAAAAAAAAAAAAAAAAAGACATTCTGCACTTTGCAGTCAAAGGAGGGTGCTTGTGCTGCAGTTGGCTGTGCCAGGAGAGGGGTGTGATCTTTTATAGTGTTGAAAAGATGGTGATACTGAGATCTTCCACTTGGAAGATACACTTCCACCCTTGAGGGAGGAAAGAAAAGCTGATGCAGCTTCTTTATGGACACTTGACTTAAGTTTCTTGATAAAAGTTATGGTAATTCTATCATAAAAATTAGTGCTTTATGCTCGGGAGAGAGAGCTGAAGAAAATACATAGGTTGCATACAGATGGGACTGTTTTAAGAGTTGTTTCCTGAAAGTAGTGTCTTCGTAAGCTATAAGAAGGCTACTGTCAAAGAAGTGACGGTGGAACATAAAAATTCATTTGGTTATAGCTGCGTTGCATTTAGTCCCTACCTGCGCATATGCTAAGTTTTGTTAGCACAGTTGGGAAATGAAGTGAAATGAACAGAAAGTGTTTTTCCATCATGATTTTGTGCAACTCAGACCTTGCATAACCTTAAGAACCAGTGGTACCTATGCTGGTGGTAAACCTGTATATCTGCACGTGAGCAGGGTTCCATATTGTGCCGTCTCTTAATGATATTGGACTGTGCATGTGCTTCTTAGATGCTGCTGAAACATTCTTGACTTCACTGAAAACAAGACAAAAGGACTTGCTCCTTGGCTTTTTTCCTTTAAGTTCTCCAAAATAACTTGTAAACAACATTCAAGTTTTAATAAACAGGAGAGGGTAGTGATATATACTACAAGTAAGACAAGAAGCAATAGAAAAAGCTCTGAAAAGAACAACTTAATTGTTTAGGCTTCAGTTTCTTGTGTTTTTGTACCTAACTCAAAAATTGAGTCTTTGAGAACTGGGGCTAGTATATAAGAATAATCAGAAGTGGCTGGATTTTATCCATGCTTGGAGGTCACTGAATAAAATTTTTAGGTGTGTGTCATATCCTTTAGTTTCTGATCTCTAAAGAACACATAAAGATCTCTTGTACACAGGTTAAGATGCCACTACTTGTAAAGTTTAAATTGCCCTGGGAAAGTAGTTAGTTTTCATTCAAAATGAATAGATTATTTACTCTCTAAAGTAAATTTTCTATCAACAACAATAGAAAAAACCTTCAAGCTTGCTACTGGTGAATTTCCTAGCCTGTAGAAATTTAAGACACTTCTTACTGAGTCCCTGTAGACCATTGCTATCACTATTATCTGCAACTTCTCTGGCAATTGACAGGTTCATTGTAGTCTTCTCTACTGGAGTTTCGTTGGATTCCCCTTGTGTGTTACCAGAATGATGGCAGCTGCTATAAGGAGGAAAGAAAATAGAATCATTTCCTACCTGATGATCGGTTCATTCAGGAAATGCCTGAGAGATTCAAGCCACAGCCTGAATTGTATCAGCAAAAGCAATTTGTCTCTCTTTGGCTATTTCCATTGCTGGAAGTAGTAGTCAACAGGGACAAGAATATTGGTAGTCTGAGATTCATGTAAGAGTGAAGAAATTTCAGAAACACAGGATCACTGACTTCTCAGCTGACTTCTTAAAAATCAAAATAGTCTTTTTCCTTCTGTAATGTGGCTTCAGATGCTTAATGCGTGAACATTCAATCTTCTTAGGTCCCTGACTTTCATGCTATAGCATTCTACATAGTGGACTAATTTCAAGTTGCACCAAATAGTAGCTTCCTGAAAACTTATGAATTGGATGCGGGTAAATTCAGCTTTATCCTGAATTGGTGAACTAGGGGAAAAAAGGTAACTCACCTTTGTATGTTGGATACGCCCTTCTTGAAATATCCTTCTTTCATGAATATTTACAGAAAAAATGGTATGTTATGATTCTTGTTCAGTAGTAGCTGTAACTGTTCAGACTGCTGCTATTGAGCAGTATTAAAAGGCACTTGCAAATACTTCACTTGGTGCAAATTCACTAGAGCCTTTCCAGAAAAGGTACCAAAAATTCTAATGTATGTGCTGCTGGCTGTCACTCAAAGATGTATCATGCAGCCTGTCAGTCCAGATCAGTTCGATTTGACCAATAAAAGGACATTTTAAGGAAACTCTCGATTTTGAGTCAAAAGAATAAAGGCTATAACTGCATAGGGTCAGTATTCTTTACCTTTCATTTGACTGAGGTATGGTAATAGTGTTTCATGGGGAATTAATCCAGACCCCAGTTGCAGGGTACTGGAGGGGAGTTAGTGAGCGGGTGTGTGGTGCTTAGCTGCCCACGGGGGTTAAACCACGACACTAGGTAACTGTGTCTGTGCACTTGGTTGTGGTTTGAGGGTCCTGGCCCGTAGGTCCAAGCTTGCAAATGCTCTTGTAACAGTAAGTCCAATTTTTTAAATCTAAACTTGCATTGAAGGAAAAAAAAGATGCAGTTGATGTTAACTGTATTGATTAAATGATCAAGGAAGTAAAAACATAGGATTATCTCTTCCCTTCCTATTCCCCAGCAGGAAATGAAATGTGTGAAGGTGATGAGTTATAAAAGCTATCTCTGTGTGTTCTGTTATTGGTAAAGCAAGCATGAAAGGTCGTATTTTTGATACATGGAAAAGCAGATTTTGTTAGTGCGCTTGTCACTACGGTGGTTTGGTTTCAATTAATTCATTCCTCTAATCAGTGGATTACAGGTTAGCTCTATTTTTGGAAAAGCAGGGTAGGGGGAAGATTTCCTAACAGATTGCCCTGGAGGTGGCAGATGGCATTCTTTACTCTGTACCAGCTTTGTAGGGCATCCGTTGCTAGTGGTGTTGAGATGTGAAACAACACAGCCATTTGCTAAACTTTTTCATTTGCTTTGAGGAAAAAAAAAAAGTTGTAGACTCTTCCTTTCCTGCACTTCTCTCTTCCCAAATGTTTGTTTTCACTTGCATGCTTCCTATTCAGTGTCAGGTATAAAATGACATGTGTTCTCAGCGAGCACTTCCCATCCAAGAAGTTGTTATATTTCTGTGGTGAATAAAACAATTTTTTAAGGAGTTGTGAGACCTTTTTGAGGATGGAGATAGCTTCAAACATTTTAGACGCTTCATAAGTTATCATTTCTACGAATGCTTCAAAAGACCTCCTTGTATTTTACTGTCTTGTGTTTTCCATACTGAATTGCTTTAGGATGTGGGGTTTTCTTTGTTTTTAATTTTTGTTTTCAGAAGTTGAAAGAATTTTGAATATTAACATGGGCTTTTCCCCTCTTTCTCCCCCCCCACCCCTTCAAGAACCTTTTTAAAACGCTGGGGTTGTTGGAGTGGTTGAATTTTTCCTGGATTTGAGTGAGAAATTCAGAAGACTGAAGCCCAGGCTCACTGTCTACCTTTCACGGAGGCCCAGCCGTGAGAGGACAGAAGAAGGCACGTGGCGAATCATGACAGCGGACAAAGAAAAAGACAAAGACAAAGAGAAGGACAGGGATAGAGACCGGGATAAGGAGCGAGACAAGAGAGACAAGGTGAGGGAGAGTGAGAACTCGCGTCCTCGACGGAGCTGTACATTGGAAGGAGGTGCCAAGAATTATGCGGAAAGTGACCATAGTGAAGATGAGGACAATGACAACAACAGTGCCACCACAGAGGAGTCCACAAAGAAGAGCAAAAAGAAACCACCCAAGAAGAAGTCCCGGTACGAGAGAACAGACAACGGTGAAATAACGTCCTTTATCACAGAGGATGATGTTGTATACAGGCCTGGAGGTAAGAAATTCTTATGTTTCCTTTGAAAGTAATTGTACACCAGAGCTACCAGTTAGTTGGCTGCAGCAGACAGCACAGTGTGGTATCTGTTAATTTAAATTATGATTGTCCTAGGGGCAGGTTCCTGCATTTCCATTGGAGACAAATATGGATATGCATGCAAAAGCTTTTGACTGTATCTTGTAATATCTGATTTGTTGGAATGAACTTAGCTCCTCTTTGAAAAAGAGCCACCCTTTTTTCTTTCTACTGCATTAAGCATCTGTGTATCATATGGAATCTCTGTCCCTGGGAATTTTGAAACTAAATTGGATAAAGCACTGAGCGCTTTGCTCCAACTCTGAAACAAGACCTGATCTGAGCTAGAGACTTGACTAGGTGGCATATAGAGATATCTTCTACCCTTCCCGACAGGTTTTTCTGTGAGTCTATGATTTCTTTGTGGAGCTCCTCTCCTGTCTTCTGTTTGTGAAATATAAATCATGTGACTTAAGATCTCATACCTATTATGCCATTGATTTCACCCCCCTCGTTAATAGCTAGCTAATGCCTACGCACAGCAGCTTAGCTATTGGTCAAAAGACAGTGTCAGTTATCAGCAAGTGTCTGGGATGTTTTGGGGACAGAAACAGAAGCTTGCAATGTGCTCTGGATGTCTTGGACGTGCCTCTTAATTACTGCCAAGTTCACATAAGATTTTTAGGGTCTCATGTAAAGTTTCAAGATCTAACCTGTGGCTGCTGCCAGCTAACTTTTTCCTCAAAATGAAATTGTACTTGAAAGTCAGATTATTCAGCTAGCTGTATTCCTCATTTCTGAGTAAAAACTTTGTGTTCATCTACACAGCATTTTAAAGGTGTTGATTGCAGTTATTTGTTCCACCACAAGGAATAGTTATGTTTGGCTTTACTGTTCAAAGCATTGGCTTAAAGGCTCCGGTAGTTTTATATTACTTTCCTGTAAAATGATCAATATGCTGTAGTAACACCGCTGGAGCAAAATAGAGATGGATTCAAACAAAAAAACCGTGGAAACTAACGAGGTAAAATCTTGTCTGATTTTTCCACGAGATGCTGTATATCTCAACTGCTAAAATCTCATTGTATGGGTACAGATGTAAATGTTTTAAATTTTCTCTGCAGTTGTAGTTGCTGTAAACGCTCTAAAATGCTAGTTGTATGTGTGGGCATTATCAGCTGCAGAGCTCTCTGCAGTTGCTGTAAACGCTCTAAAATGCTGGTTGTATGTGTGGGCATTATCAGCTGCAGATACAGATGGGCTGAAATTCTGCTGGTTTTGGAGGTGTTGCATTCCATACTTGTTATTCTGTGTGAAAGTTGTAGAGTCTGTTTTCACTTAGATCTACCAGCGTTTGTCAAAATAGCTTATCTATTGAAATGCTTCAAATATCACTTCAAACCATTCAAAAGATATGTTTTTCTCTTGGTCAGGGCTTGTAGCTGAGTAATATTTGTTGCTTGAGCAGTAGTCATAGGGAGCCTGCAAAAGCATCAGCTTTGGTGGCAATCTTATTTTCAGTGTCAGAGGATGAAAAATAATTTAGAATCTGTTAAGAACAGCTGTTGTGTGGGCCCAGTAGTACAATGCGATACACTGGCTTTATTGCAAAAAGACTTTGCTTAAAATTAAGATGGAAAATCAGGTTGTGATCTTGATTTTATCCTGTAGTAGGATAGAGGAAGTATTAGCACTCTATCCAGTAGGTGCAGTGCTTGGAGTACCTCTGATGTAGCAGTACTTGGATAGAGGGTTATTTGCAGAACAGCAGGGATCAGTACTGTAGTTATACAGAGTTTGCACCTTTGCCAGGTGATTGACAAAGAGGGGGAGAGAGCCTGTAAATGCTGGTAGCGTGGGGAGAGCTTAGATTCTTTATGCTGTATTTGTCATGAGACTATCCATTCAGAAGAGAAACCTTCTTTATGTACAGACTGGCAAGAGCTTCAGTTATGGCTTGTACCTTCTCACATGCCAGCAATTACACACTGGGGGAGATGCTATTTATGGACTGAAATGCAAGGTAAAGCCTCAGTCACAGCACAGGCATGAAGATGTGTCAGAGAACCTGCACGCAGCAAATACTCTGTAAATGCTGGCCAAGCACCACTCAGGCCTTATGGGACTTCAGGGAGCACGCATGGTTGATAGTGTGGGACAACAGTCTTCTCTAACAAGCCGAGTACTTCATCAAATGTATTTTGGTGATGGTGGTTGCAGATAAGGGAGCAATTCCTCCTTGTACGAGTGTTGTTTGGAAGGGTTTGGAAGAGGTTGCGTGATCTGGTAAAGGGTTTGAAAGCTGGTCTGTCCAGTCTCGACTAAGACTAGTGCTGGCCGTAGGCAGCTTGCTTCATTTTCTCTTTGCCCATCTTTCTGCACTGTTTGAAGAAAAGGGGGTGGGTGAAGGTGTCTGTATCTGATCTGGAGGAGGTTATCTAGCCAAAGAACAAGGAAAGCCATAGAACTCGTGATAATTGAGATATTTTATACCTGTTTTGTAATTTAAAATTCTGCTTATTAAATTTTACATTTTATTAGTAGTAATTAGCATAAGAGATGTACCCTAGCACTGAAACTTTTCTGTTCAGTTTGCTTTTTGTGCTTTTTTAAAATTGCATCTGTCTCCTGTCTTGAAAACTGCAGAGAGCAATGAGAACACACATTATAGGCTAGCTCATTGTTGGAGGGACATGAGCCTAGCTGAAACCTTAATTGACTATACTGATTTTTAGATTTTATTTAAAACATAATTTCTTAACAGGAGTGAGATCTTGAATACACATTCCAGTGCATAATATATTCTAAAGCCATTTTAGCATCTATTACAGATGCAAATCTTAGCTTCTGTCTTATGGCTAGGTTACATATAGGGAGATGTATTTGTAGCTAAGGGTACAAATTACGTAAAATTTAAGAGGGATTGAGAGAGTTTAATGAGGCTTGCACAGCAAGGATTAGAAAGATGAAAATGAAAGGTGTGTGCAGAACGGATAGCTGTCTTCAGTTTACATCTTTTAGGCTTTAAGGAAAGGAAATCCTTTCCATTCATTTGATTCTTTCTCTTAAATACTCTTACGTGGATGAATGTTAAAGGTCTGCATTTTCTTACTGTGAAGTCCTTGGTAAAAAATCGCATTCTGTGTTTACCCCATTGCTGTATAGTACTTAATCCAGCACTTAATACTACTTTTTCCTGTGCTGAGCTCAGCAGCTATATTTGAGTAATAGCAAATAAACTGTAAATGAAAAATCAAGATCATTGGAATTTTTTCAAATGAAAGGTTACACTATATTGTTACTATATAAATACTGTTCTTATTAATTTGCATAGATATAATGAAAGTACACATAGCTTTAAACCATGTATTAAAATTTATTGAGTAGAGCTCAGACAACGCTATGCAATTAATCTTCTACTTTGTTGGAAATCACACGGGCCTATCCTAAAAGCTTGTTGGCCCACTTCCCCATCTGTCAGTTTCCACAACCTCCCTCCCATTTCCTTCCCAATCTAATCTGTGGGTTTTTTTCTTTTTTTTTCTTGCAGTTCTTACTTTGCTCTTGTCAAAATGACTGTCACGGTAACATTTTTTTATTGTACAATGTGTATTCAGATTTGCCTATAGGCTTCCTTAGCATAAGGTAATGATAGTGTAAAATGGTTGCATCAAGACTGAGATTTTTTTTTTCCCCCCTCCTCTTAAATTGTTAGATTATTTAATCATGAATTTCCTTCCGTTTCTAGTGCAGACCGATTCCCTTCTTTCCTACTGGCTTTTGCCAAAATCGAGCACGGTTTGAAAGGGTTGATTTCGTGTAGGTTTGTATGCACGTGCAATATGGTTAACACATGGCTCCTAATTGGGTGTAGTCTAAAATTGGTGGTCTTGTTTTGTAGTATGTTTTCTGCAGTTCTACTTTTTTGATTGTCAGACTATAAGCAAATTTGAATACTTTGATACTCTGCTGTGCAAAACAGACTTATAACTACATCTGTTGTTTGGGTTAGACAATTGGTCTCCATGTATGATTTTCTGTATAGAAGAACGTACTGAAGTGCTGTCAGTCAAATGGCTGTCAGTGTATTGTACTGGACTTCAGTGGCTAAGGTGCTTTTGGAACAGCTGTCCAGGCTTTTTCCAAGTGCCATGCTACTCCAAACACCATTGAGTAATGTAGTGGCTTTTGTGTAGGCCCTGCTTTTGATACTTGGTTAAGAGAATGACTTACCTAGCTGGAAGAGGGAGCTATGTGATGGAAAACAAATAGCGCTGTCAGTAACTTTCAATTTCTGGCCAACGTAATGAAAGATAGAAATGGTAGTGATGATACTGTTCCAGAGAACCTTTTTTCCCCTCCCTGTTCTGGAGGGCAACAACTTGCCTAAAGTCTTACATGGACCTGATGTATGGACGTACTTTTTTTGTGTATCTTCAGCTTGTCTTTGAACGTGGAGATTTTCTTTTCAATATCCCAATAAACTGCTCTTGTGAAGTTAAAGGGTTAAGATTCCAGAGAAAGTACATAGCAGAAGTATCTGCATCAAAATAGTAGCTGGTTATGTGGATGCTTTTATTGCCCTGTTCCTTTTTGTTCTCTGAACTCTTGCATACTTTTCTTGCTAGAGGAAGCAGTATTGTCCCTGTCCCCTTTCACCCTCGGTCTGTTCAACACATCAGGAAGGGGTATTACTGTATTAAAGCCACAGAACTTAATACTGAGGATATTGTTGCTACTGAGCAGACTGCTGTAATGTCATCATGATAGCACCTTGAATGCTGGACTGGAAAAACATAGTTGGGTGAAAGTCTGAGTTGATTTGGAGCCTCAGGAAAACAGATGACTTGATATGTCACCTGGAGATGAGGACAATATTGTTTCCTCTGCCTACGTAGAAACATTTAAAAGGATCTGAAGGAATTAAAAGGATTTATGAGGATCTGTTTCTACAGTGACATCAGTAGCTATATAAACAGCAC